TTGAACCCGCCACCTTAGGTGTATATGGCTGGCGCCCTAGCCGCTTGAGCCACAGGCGCCGAGCCTTGAGACAGAGTCTTACTCAGTCACCCTGAGATTGAGTGCTGTGGCATCAAAGCTCACAGTAACCTCAAACTCTTGGGCTGAAGTGATTCTCTCGTCTCAGCTTCCCAAGTAGGTGTGACTAAGGCACCTGCCACAACACCTGGCTATTATTTTTAGAGATAGGTTCTTGCTCTTGCTCAGGCTGGTCTTGAACTCCCGAGCTTAAGCAATCTGCCCGGCTTGGCCTCCCAGAGTGTTAGGATTATAGGCATCAGCCACTGCACCCAGCCTCCAAGAAGCACCAAGTCACACATATTTTCCTGTGTGGCTCCTAAGGTGGGCAGAAAATAATTCCATACTGTTTTCTTGGGATGTTTTGGATGACACCAACATCAGAGGAGACACAGGTTTCAATGAGATTGCTCTGAAGGATAATTTTAGATATGTGTGTGTATATGTGTCTGTGTGTATCTGTGTGTGTGTGTGTATGTGTACATTTTGAATTTATTAATTGTGAACAATTTAAAAACCAGCTTCTTACATTATGGTCATACCTGATGGACCTTCCTGAGCTCATTAGGAGAACCTCTGAAATGTGAACTCAGTGGAGTCCAGATTAAGATATAAACATTGTATCTATAACACCAGGCAAATGTGTGTGTGTGTATCTCTGTGTGTATATGCATGTGTGTGTATCTGTATCTGCGCGTATGTGTGCATCTGTGTGTATATATGTGTGCATGTGTGTGTATATGTATGTGTGTATCTGTATCTGTGTGTATGTGTGCATCTGTGTGTATATATGTGTGCATGTGTGTGTATCTCTGTGTGTATATGTATGTGTATATCTGTATCAGTGTATCTGTGTGTGTGTATCTGTATCTGTGTGTATGTGTGCATCTGTGTGTATATATGTATGCATGTGCGTGTATCTCTGTGTGTATATGTGTATATCTGTATCAGTGTGTGTATCTGTGTGTGTGTATCTGTATCTGTGTGTATGTGTGCATCTGTGTGTATAAATGTGTGCATCTGTATCGGTGTGTGTATCTGTGTGTGTATCTGTGCATCTGTGTGTATATATGTGTGCATGTGCGTGTATCTCTGTGTGTATATGTATGTGTATATCTGTATCCGTGTGTATATCTGTGTGTATCAGTATCTGTGTGTATATATGTGTGCATGTGCGTGTATCTCTGTGTGTATATGTATGTGTATATCTGTATCTGTGTGTATGTGTGTGTGTGTATCTGTATCTGTGTGTATGTGTGCATCTGTGTGTATAAATGTGTACATCTGTATCGGTGTGTGTATCTGTGTGTGTATCTGTATCTGTGCATCTGTGTGTATATATGTGTGCATGTGCGTGTATCTCTGTGTGTATATGTATGTGTCTATCTGTATCGGTGTGTGTATCTGTGTGTGTGTATCTGTATCCGTGTGTCTATATGCACATAAACATTTTAGGTTATACTGTCATGTATCATTTCCTTCAGTTTTCTTTCCTAAATGACATTAAGAGACAGATAGGAAAAAACACCCTTTACTACCAAATCAGGAGTTTTCTTCTATTTCTATTTACTTTTTGATTCTATATAAACAGGTAAGATACGCAGACCTTACCTGCTTATCTTACAAATGTTTGAAAAATATACAAAATATTTCTCACTGACTTGGCTACCCAAATAGCCAAACTGGCCTCTACTACTGTGCAGGACGAAACAAAAACAACAAATGGTTTTGCAAAGCTGCAACAGACACAGGTTTTAACAGCGCAACAAGGTTTCAAGCTTCTGAGAGAAAGACTACAAAGAGAAGAACAGAAAACAAAGCCTGAGATTCTCTACAAAATGTGTGTGTGTGAGGGGGACAGACATTCTATTCTGTAATGTATTAGAGGAAAACTCGAAGGGGTATAAGAGTAAAATGGATGTTTAGCAAATAGAATAAAAAAAATTCAGAACTCTAAAAATCACTTTTATTATTCCAGAGACAGGGTCTCACTCTGTCACCCAGGATGGAATATAGTGCCATCATCACAGCTCACTGCAACTTCAAACACCTGGGCTCAAGGGACCCTCTCACTTTAGCCTCTCAAGTAGGAGGGATTCCAGGTGTATACCACTGTGCCCAGCTAATTTTTTATTTTTTTTGTAGAGATAAGTGTCTTGCTTTGTTGCCCAAATTGGTCTTAAACTCCTGGCCTTAAGCAATCCTCCCATCTTGGCCCACCAAAGTGTCTAAAAACCATTTAAGAAGCTATATGCAGGCTGGGCACCTGTGGCTCAAGTGGCTAAGGCGCCAGCCACATACACTTGAGATGGTGGGTTTGAATCTAGCCCGGGCCCGCCAAACAATAATGATGGCACAATCAAAAAATAGCCGGGCATTGTGGCAGGCAGGTGGAGTCCCAGCTTCTTGGGGGGCTGGGGCAAGGGAATCAGTTGAGCCCAAGAGTTTGAGGTTGCTGTGAGCTGTGATGCCACAGCACCCTACCGAGGGTGACAGCTTGAGAATCTGTTTCAAAAAAAAAAAAAAAGGCAGCAGCAGCTATATGCAAAACTGTACACCCATCAGGAAAACCTATAGCACAAAGGAAAAAGTGTCTTCGGCCAGCAACCCCTAATCTTTTTGGTACCAGAGACCAATTTGATGGAAGACAATTTTTCTATTAATGGGAGTGTAGGGGGTTGGGAATGGTTTTGTATTGATTCAAGTGCATACTATTTCCACCTCAAATCACCAACCATTGGATTCTCATAAGGAGCACCCAATCTAGATCCCTTGCATGCACCATTTATTGTGGGGTATGTGCTCCTACAACAATCTAATGGCTCTACTTATTTGACAAGAGGTGGAGCCTAGGCAGTGACTCAAGCAATAGGGAGCAGTTGTAAATACAGATAAAACTAAGCTAAAGTGAACTAGCTGCTCACCTCCTGCTGTGTAGCCCAGTTCCTGAAAGGCCATGGACCATATCAAGTCTGTGGTCTGGGGATTGGGGACCGCAGTCCTAGGGTACAGAGTAAGATCTTGCTCTATCCTAGGCACAGGATACTTAGGATATGCTTATGCAGAGGGGACAAAACCACTAAATTAAAATAGCAATCAAAGCAACATAAAACATAAAGCATTCTAATAAACTAGAATCTTTATGTGCAAAAAAGTAAACCGAAAATACCTAGGAATATCCTTATCAAGAAAGAGCCTGCAAAAACATAGAAAAGGCTTTCGTTAGTGCAGCAAACCAAACCAAACAAAAAAAAAAAAAAAAAAGGAAGAGAGAGAAAAGAGAAAAAATATATATAAAAGAGAGAAATCTAGTGATAAGCAAAGTGAATTCACGTGGATAGACAATTAACAAACTGAGAATTCACAGGACACAATTTGATAGAGGGGTTCCAGTGACATAGGTCTCTCCTAAGACTTTCAACTAAGGAAAATACCCGTTCAGTGGTGACTTGATATTGGGAATGACAGGAAGCTGTGGAATTCAGGGACAACCAAGTCAATTTGTTAACATAAATGTAGGAATGAGAAGAGAAGAAATAAGAGTCCTTGTCAATTCTACTCTACTATCAAAACAGTAGAAAAGCCCTCTGAGATACAGAGAAAATACACCCTATTTGGAGTTCTGTAAGTTCTTCTTTTTTTTTTTTTAAGACAGAGCCTCAAGCTGTCCCCCTGGGCAGAGTGCCGTGGCATTACAGCTCACAGCAACCTCAACTCCTGGGCTCAAGAGAGTCTCCTGCCTCAGCCTCCCAAGTAGCTGGGACCACAGACGCCCACCACAATGCCTGGCCATTTTTTGATTGCAGCCATTATTGTTGTTTGGCGGGTCCGGGCTGGGGATTCGAACCCGCCACCTTAGGTGTACGTGGCTGGCGCCTTAGCCTGTTGAGCTATAGGCGCTGAGCCAGTTCTCCTTTTTTTTAGAGACAGAGTCTCACTTTGTCACCCTTGGTAGAGTGCCATGGCATTACAGTTCACATCAACCTCCAGCTCGTGGGCTTAGCCTATTCTCTTGTCTCAGCCTCCTGAGTAGCTGGGACTACAGGCGTCTGCCACAACGCCCGGCTATTTTTTGTTGTTGCAGTTTGGCCGGGGCCAGGTTCGAACCTGCCACCCTTGGTATGCTGGGCTGGCACCCTACTCACTGAGCCACAGGCTCCAACCTTTAAGTTCAATTTTAAACATTAAAATTTACCCAAACAGAATAAAAGCTCTCTTAAACTCAATTTAGCAATTTGCCATATTAACCTATGTTCCTGATATCCTCAAAATAAAGACTGATGCCTTCTTCTCTTGGAACATTCTAAACTACAGAGATGTCTGAATGTCCAGACAATTCTATGCTCTTAATTGAGTTGCGTGCTTAGCAAGTGTCAATATTATGTCCAAATCTGGTCCCTTAACTGTTATGCCAGTGGTACTTACTATTATCATTATCTAATTTACTTAAATATTAAGGGTGGTGCCCGTGGCTCAGTGAGTAGGGCGCTGGCCCCATATACCGAGGGTGGCGGGTTCAAACCCGGCCCTGGCCAAACTGCAAAAAACAATAGCCGGGTGTTGTGGTAGGCACCTGTAGTCCCAGCTACTTGGGAGGCTGAGGAAAGAGAATTGCCTAAGAGCTAGAGGTTGCTGTGAGCTGTGACGCCACAGCACTTTACTGAAGGCAACAAATGAAGACTCTATCTCAAAAAAAAAAAAAGATGTTAGTAAACGAGAGAAAGTTCAAAGGACTTGGGGCTTAGGTTTTTTTCAGTTTGCTAGTTCTTGCTTCACCAAACTGAAATTATAGAAGACAAATTATGAGTGTGGCTTTGTAAGAAAGATAATCAGAATTCCAATAAATAACCTTATAATTAAAGAAAAGGCCTTGGTCCTACATTAAGAACTTAATAAATTAACGTACATTTACAGTTTAAATAAAAACAAAAATGTTTAAGGTATATACATATCTATCTTATTATTCTTGACCTCAGCCAATGTTTTTAATTAACTAACTCTAAGCTTCTATTATACAAGATAAGCTGCTTCTGGTAAAGTTAAATTCATTTCCTATAGCATCTAACCTACTGCTGGCAAGAACTGAAGGACTTTTCAAGGTTTAACTCTAATGCAGGAAAACCTAGCATGACCAGCATTTCAACCCAACACCGTCTTTTTCTGTCTATTTTGCTAGGTACCCTACCCTACAGAAATTTGAGAAACTTTTTTTTTTTTGAGACAGAACCTCACTTTGTCACCCTCAGTAGAGTGGCATGGCATCATAGCTCACAGCAACCTCCAACTCTTGGGTTTAAGCAATTCTCTTGCCTCCGCCTCCCAAGTAGCTGGGACTATAGGTGCTCACCACAATGCTAAGCTATTTTTAGACATGAGGTCTTGCTCTAGCTTAGGCTGGTCTCAAACCTGTGAACTCAGGGCAATCTACCACCTTGGCCTCTCAGAGTGAATGCTAGGATTACAGGCATGAGCCACTGTGCTCGGCCTGAGAAACATTTTTTATGGTTGCAAAGAAAATGTGGTGGTAAATGCTGGCTGGGCACTGGCTGTGACGGTCTGGTAAAGAAGGAGAACGCCATGTGGAGCTACTGGTGACCTCCGAAAAATTGTATCATTTAAGATTTTGCCTAGGGGCTCGGTGCCTGTGGCTCAAGTGGCTAAGGCGCCAGCCATATATACCTAAGGTGGTGGGTTCAAATCCAGCCTGGGTCCGCCAAACAACAATGATGGCTGTAACCAAAAAATGGCCAGGCGTTGTAGCAGGCGCCTGTGGTCCCAGCTACTTGGGAGGCTGAGACAGGAGACTTGCTTGAGCCCAGGAGTTGGAGGTTGCTGTGAGCTGTGATGCCACAGCACTCTACCCAGGGGGACAGCTTGAGGCTCTGTCTCCAAATAAATAAATAAATAAATGAATAAAGATTTTGCCTAGGGATAGGTAAGCACCCCTCTTTATCTCTACCACTGCCCCTCCTCGACATAGACACCTGCCCACACACCTTTCCTTTCTTTCACAGCCCCAGCAAACAGAAGTTTGTTCCTTTTTTTCTTTTCTGAGACAGAGTCTCACTTTGTCACCCCCAGTAGAATGCCCTGCCCTCATAGCTCACAGCAACCTCTAACTCCTGGGCTCAAGCGATTCTCTTGCCTCAGCCTCCCGAGTAACTGGAACTACAGGCACTTGCCACAACACCTGGCTATTTTTAGATATGGGGTTTCACTCTATCGCAGGCTGGTCTAGAACCCATGAGCTCAGGCAATCCCCCCCACCTCAGCCTCTCAAAGTGCTGACATTACAGGTACAAGCCACTGCACCCAGCCAATTTTTCTATTTTTAGCAGAGACAGCGTCTTTCTCTTGCTCAGACTGGTCCTGGACTCCTGAGCTCAAGGGATCCTCGCACTTCGGCCTCCCAGAATGCTAAGATTACAAGAGTGAGTCACCATGCCCAGCCTCTTTCTTTCTTTTTAGAAAGCAGGGTAGGCAGGGGAAGGAACAGGGATTTTTAAAGTGAAAAGGGAGAAGGGAGTCAGTCCTTTGTCTGAACCAGGAGTCATTAAGGAATAAAAGGTATAATGGTGAGCAAAGCAACCCCCTCAGGAGCCGACTCATCACACTTCTTAGGGTGCCCACCTGCTAGAGTTATAGGACGACTTCAGGTACTTGGCAGAAATAATATTTAAGGAGAGGATGGCGTCAACTGCGGCTTCATCTACCTCAGGCTTATTCCTAATCCGGCCTAAAAGAAAGAATAAAGAAACCAGAATATAAATACATTTAATAACAAAACAAATTTCTTAAGGCAGAAAGAGACTTTTAGATCCTTGTGCAACATCAGGTGCTGGAAGGGTCATCTGGTTGCCTGAAGGGTTCTCCGTTCTTCCTCTTTGTCTGTCTCTCCTTTATTCCCTGCATTTAGTCAGCTTCAAAACCTTACTGATGCTTTTTTCAAAGATTTTCTCATATTCCTATATTTATTTCCAATATCATTACCTTGCTCACAAAGGTCACTTTCCTCTTCAATCTGGAACCAGCAACATCCATTTAATTGGTCTCCCTGCTGTTCTCATTTCCCTGTTCTAATCCATCTTCCATCACCTGTTATAAACTCATTAACCACCGACTTTATTGCTTTCCTACTCAAAATCACAACACTCTGTTTTAAATTAACATTCAGGGATGCAGCATTGCACAGAGATTAGTCTCCGGAACTGCCTGGTATTCCAACTCTCAGTCACTGTGAGGCTTTGGGCATAATGCTCAACCTCTCTGAGCATCAGTTCCCTCATCTGGAATGAGGAAAACAATTCCTCCCTTATATCTGATTGTTATGAGGATTGAATGAGGCCGTCTTTTTAGAGCATTCAGGAAAGCGTCTGGCACGTGGTAAACACTTTAGAAGAATTTGTGAAATAAAATGGACAAATAAATTACACGGTTTTTCAGAGAAGCCTCAGTAACGGCGGCTTCCACATCTTCTCTCCCCTCTTTTGTTTTGTATACTGGTGTTCCATGTAAAGAGGGATTCTGAGAAAGCTTGAAAACCACTGCTCCAGACGGGAGAGTGAAATAAAACTCTCTTCCAAGGATTTGGGATTTTCTTTTTTTCCTCATTTTGAAAATTCTCTTAGGAAAAATATTTTATTTATTTACTTATTTGAGACAGAGTCTCAAGCTGTCGCCCTGGGTAGAGTGTGAGGCAACAGTACAGCTCACAGCAACCGCCTACTCTTATGCTCAATGGATCCTCCTGCCTCAGTTTTTTGTATTTGTAGTAGGGATGGGGTCTCGTTCTGGCTCAGGCTGGTCTCAAACCTGTGAGCTCAAGCAGTCCACCTGCCCCGGACCCCCAACATGCTAGGATTATAGGTGTGAGCCACCTTGCCCAGCCCAATCTTTTTTTAAAACTTTTTCCTTAATAGTTGACTGGCAAGCTGGAACCTTCTGAGGGTTCTTAATCTGGTCTATAAGAGACACAAAGAATCCACAAAGAATCTGTGGAAAGAATTCAGATGGTCTGAATTCTTTGAGCTTAGATGGGAAAAGAATTACATCTTCATTTTCATGAGCCTGTAACTTTTCTGAAAACTGGCATTTCCTTCAGTTATGAAGGAAGGAATAAGCCACAGGGCAATCAGTAGTACCTTTGACTCTGCCCCTAGTAGAAACCACAGATGTTTCCCTATCACACTAACATAAAATATCTTATTTATTCATCATCACTTGCTGGACCTTGTTATTTAATGTATCAATAAATAAAACTTACATAGATAGACCCAGGTTACAAACAAGATAGGTTTTCTCTGTAGGTTTGTTCATAAGCTGAATTTACACAGGAACCGGTACATTTACTTACCTGTAATAGCCTCCATTCATAGTGCAAGCCATATGGCAGCTGGATGTTTATAAACTGGGGACTTGCCTATTTTACAAATTTGTTTACTATTTTAACAATTGTATTTCAATACTGTTAGTTTCCTTTGTAATACTAAAGTAGTTTATTTTCTACATTTGCAAACCTAATCCTGCTAGAGATTCATGGTGGCAAAATTCTCACTCACATTCCATAGCAAAATGCCTTAGTTTAATTTCTCCACGCAAGCCATGGTTTCTAGCCCCTCACATGTTAGACATATTCCTGACTCTTACTTGGGAATGTTTTTGTCTGAAAAACAAACAAATAAAACTCCTCTAATTTCTCGTGAATCTGTCTAGTGCTCCTGAATTGTTTTGTTAACTCTGTTAGCGCAGGTCTTACTCATCAAACCATTTCACAAACATATATGTGGTCTCCCCAACTACACTGTATGCTCACAATGAACAAAGGCTTCTTTTCTTTTTTTTTTTTTTTTTTTTTGACAGAGCCTCAAGCTGTCCCCCTGGGCAGAGTGCCATGGCATCACAGCTCACAGCAACCTCCAACTCCTGGGCTCAAGCGAGTCTCCTGCCTCAGCCTCCCAAGCAGCTGGGACCACAGGCACCTGACACAACACCTGGCTATTTTTTTGGTTGCAGCCATCATTGTTGTTTGGCGGGCCCGGGCTGCATTCGAACCCACCACCCCAGGTGTATATGGCTGGTGCCTTAGCCACCTGAGCCACAGGCACCGAGCCACACAGGCTTCTTTTACGCCCTCTCGCAACCTCTAGCACAGAACCACACCCGTGGTATGTGAGAAAACAGTGGTTGGTCAGGTAATACATAACTAATGATGGAGCTGAGAAACAAGAGTATGTCGTTTCAAACTCAAGGCCTCTACAATCTCCAGTCTGTGTTCTCCAGTACAGTTGTCCACATATCCACTGTGCTGCAAGCAGGGAAAAAGAACATCTCTAAAGTCCCAGCTCCATCCTCAGCCAATCGAATGTACTCACCGACCACCAGTTCCCGAACATCTTTCCAGTGCAGCTCGCTCCCCTTCTCGTGGATAATGGTCACTGTGATCCTTCGCTGGATGCCCTAGGTAATGGAGCAGGGCTGCAATTTAGCTGGGGTGATCAATCATTTCTTCGTCTTTGTTGTTTTCTGGGTTGTACAGTATAGGGATGGGTAGGAAGGAGAGGTATAGAAAGAAAGGGGAAATGCTACCCTCACTGTTATTCAAAACAAGGAGAAATGGGCTCAGCGCCTGTAGCTCAAGAGGCTAGAGCACCAGCCACATGTACCGGGGCTGGCGGGTTCAAACCCAGCCGGGGCCTGCCAAACAACAATGACAACTATAACCAAAAAATAGCTAGGCATTATGGGTGGGCACCTGTAGTCCCAGCTACTTGGGAGGCTGAGGCAAGAGAATTGCTTAAGAGTTTGAGGTTGCTGTGAACTGTGAAGCCACGGCACTCTACCTAGGGCAACAGCTTGAGACTCTGTCTCAAAAACACAAAGACAAAGCAAAAAAACAAGGGGAAATGAATTAAGTCAAGTGGTAAAGAACAGTCAGATTCAGTTACGGTTTTAAGAACATGTGGCTAGGCCAGGTGTGGTGGCTCACACCTGTGATCTCAGCACTCTGGGAAGCTGAGGCGGGTGGACTGCTCAAGCTCAGGGTTTGAGACAGTGAGACCCCATCTCTAAAAATAGCCAAGTGTTTAGAAAAAAAAAATAGCTGAGTGTTTTGACAGGCGCCTGAGGCAAGAAAATCACTTGAGCCCAAGAGTTTGAGATGGCTATGAGCTATGACACCATAGCACTCTACTGAGGGTGACAAAGTAAAATTCTACCTCAAAAATAAAACAAAACAAACAAACAAAACAGATGCCCAGATTACATGTCCTATTTTTTTTTTCATTTTAATTTTTTTTGTAGAGACAGAGTCTCACTTTATCGCCTTCAGTGGAGTACTGTGGCGTCACACAGCTCACAGCAACCTCCAACTCCTGGGCTCAGGCGATTCTCTTGCCTCGGCCTCCCGAGTAGCTGGGACTACAGGTGCCCACCACAACGCCCAGCTATTTTTTTGTTGCTGGGGCCAGGTTTGAACCTACCACCCTTGGTATATGGGGCCAGCCCCCTACCCACTTAGCCACGGGCACCACCTACATGTCCTATTTATTTTATGGGACCCAGCTCTTATGCCCACCTGGGTCATAAGCATTTTGGAGCACTTACTAAATATCCTCTTGGTTTTCCAAAAGGAGGACCTACATTTCATAATGAGATTTTTAGTCCACTGAAACCTTTATCCTCTAGCCCCATTAAGAAATTTGGCTGTGAGGCTCGGCGCCCTTGGCTCAAGTGGCTAAGGCACCAGCCACATACACCTAAGGTGGCAGGTTCGAATCCCCAGCCCGGCCTGCCAAACAACGAGGGCTGCAACCAAAAAATGGCCGGGCATTGTGGCGAGTGCCTGTAGTCCCAGCTACTTGGGAGGCTGAGGCAGGAGACTCGCTTGAGCCCAGGAGTTGGAGGTTGCTGTGAGCTGTGATGCCATGGCACTCTACCCAGGGGGATAGCTTGAGGCTCCGTCTCAAAAAAAAAAAAAGAGAAATTTGGCTGTGAAAGCACAGAGATTCCAAATAAGAGGAAATGAAAAGTGTAAAAAATGACATGGGAGCTGCACAAATTATAGTAATAAATAAAATAAACCTTTTCAAAATAGCCATTCTAAAAGATATATATGGTATATATTAAAACCAAAGGAGACATAAGCCAAAGTTTGAGAAAAGGCATTAAAAAATTAGTATATAAAAAATGGGGGCGGGGGGAAGATTGCACAACAGGACAATCTTACTCCCCAAACAGAAGAGAAAAGCAGAGAAAAAGAAAGTTATGATTCTTATTCCAAATGCTTTTTGGTGTTCCCTCCTAGGTCTTTTTTTGTTTCCTCATTAGTACCTGGTGAAGCAAAAATGTCCCCTGGCAGGGCAAGCCTTCTGTATGGTCAACCACAGCTGGGATATACCTATAAGAATGGAGATGTAAGAGAAAGAAGTGAGTGTTACTTCATCTGCAAGGTCCTCCCTCATTGCTCCAGTCCCTGGTGGGGGTCTTATTCTCCTGAGCTGACTTAGTCATAGTCTTTTGCATTTACTAATCCTTTCCCCATGTCTGGGTCTCATCATGCTTTCGAGGACTCAAGGACAGTAACACCTTTGGTTTCATCCCAGCCCCTTGCATAACAAGTATACAGTAAACAAAGCAGAAGTGCAATCAATTCAACAGGAAATGAGGAACAGATAATTTCAGATTCTAGTTAGTTTATTTAAAACCTAGAAAGCAATTAATTCAGTAGAAACCATCAGTACAACTATATCTCCCTCATAACACAAGTTAGAATCACATTACAGATCTATGGAAAGTCAAATTCCTCAAAATGGTGTAAATACTGAAAACTCCAGACAGGATGGACGGAAAACACTTAACACAGTGACATACACACAGCTGGACCTTAATACATGTTTCACGGCGATGACCATGGTGGCGGTTTTCAGTATTATACACAGAGGAACATTAGAATAACATTTACCTCCTACCTTTTACATTAATTGCTAGAGCCCCCTCCCTCTGATTTAAGAATAAGATCTCTTTTGTGTTTTTTCAAAACCATTTTAGAGACAACCATAACAGTAATTATATTCATCACTTACTCTAACACAGCTCATAGATGGAAAGTAAGCTGATGTTGATCGTTTTGATCTAGGACAGTGGTTCTTTATAGGAGACTGAGCACCAGGCTTATAGGACCAGGAGTCAGTTCTTGAGGTAGGCGCTGGGAGCAGGATAGTCTCCGAGCTGGCATGGAGATGTTCTGCAGCCCAGAGACAAGCCCTCAAGCAACTGCATGTATTTATGAGTTAAGATCAGTCACTCGTGAGCAAGCAGGTGTTGTACTTTGAACATGTGTGGTGCAACAGGGTGGGAGCTGAGCCCGAGGGGAAAGAGCACATAGCAATCATTAAGCACGGAGTTCCTGTGTGTGCCCCCCCCCCGCCTTCAATCAAAGAGGTTACAGAGGCTCTCCCTGCACCCATGTGAAGCCCACCTCTTACAAGCATGTACTTCTAATCCGAGTCCCAGCTGTTTTTATTCACATGGTGATGGGGTGACACAGAGGGCATCAACAGTTCTTAAATGGAAGTGATTTTGCTCTGGGGGGCATGTGACAGCGTCTAGAGACATTTTTAGTTATTCCAACTAGACGAGTGGTGCTACTGGCATCTTGTGGATAGAGGCCAGAGGTGCTGCAGAATAGCCTCTAATCCACAGGATAGCTTCCTACAGAACAGAAATACCTGGCTCAAAGAGCACTGAGGTTGAGAAATCCTGGTCTAGGGAAACATTCTGCCCCAACCCCTTTGTTGAGATTAGTAATAGAAGTCTAGACCATATTCTGTGCAACATGTTCTCCTGGCTTTGCTAGTGATGTAATGCACTCTGTAGGTGGTCATCCCTCACAACAAAGTGCCAGTCTCTATGACCTTGCTGCTGCTAACAGGAGGGCAAATTATTATACCGAGTAGTCAGTTTTCAGACAAACACCTGATTAAAACAAACAAAGACCAATACAGTTCAATTCAAACTGGAGATTGATAGTGACGAGATTCATGGACCTGAACACAAAGGAAACTTAAAAGTTCATTTCCTAATATTGAAACACTTTGCCTTATTTAAAAATTTAGAAAGTTGGACTTACTCTCCTGTAGGCTCCAGTTCACTGATCTCAAACCAAACCAGAAGGTCGTACTTGCTCATGCTCTGGCCAAGGCTGGTTTTGCTCATGGTGTTTAACTTGGTGGCTGGAACTTTTAAACATTTTTAGAAAATGTCAGAATCTGGTCTAACTCTACTCAGCACAAGTATAAGCTTCTCTAATGTCAATCTTCAAGGACATGCTTAAGAAAGGCAACAAAAGTCAAGGGACAGATTTCAAAGGAGAAGACAAAAGAAATGTCAACTTCAACTATGTTCAATTCTAAATTCAGTAGACAAGGAAAATGGAGAGTCAGTATCTTCTTCCCTCTTCACAAACTATCTCCAAAGATAAGCAAAAGGATTTCGTGCAGAATAAATGCACTCACAGAGCCATTTCCAAAAATCTTCCCTCTTGAATCGCACATTTTGTGGCCGACAGAACACTGTAATTAAGTGGGAGACAATGCTTCGAAAGCCTTGCACATGCCAGGGCTCCCTCAAAGCTGATGTGGTGGAGGAAAGCCCCACCTTCCATCCCAGCAGTTCCCAAACCTCCCTGCACATAAGAGTCACCTAGGAATCTAAGAGATGGCAGAGCCCAGGCCACATCCCAGATCAAGTAGACCACAATCTCTAGGGGTAAAACAGTCCTTGCTTCTAAAGTTCTACAGGTGATTCCAATATGCAAATAAATTTGGGAATCATTGGTCTAATTCATAAATACAATATTCTGAATATGATCTTAGGTTACACATTTTCTTCAGATTTAAATTACATTTCTTTTGTTGGGGGGGCAACAGAGTCTCACTCTGTCACCCTTGGTACAGTGCTGTGGTGTCACAGCTCACAGCAACCTCTAACTCTTGAGCTTAAACGATTCTCTTGCCTCAGCCTCCCACGTAGCTGGGACTATAGGCGCCCACCACAACTCCTGGATATTTTTTTGTTACAGTTGTCATTGTTGTTTGGCAGGCCTGGCTGGGTTCAAACCCGCCAGCCCCAGTATATGCGGTCATCACCCTAGCTGCTGAGCTACAGATGCTGAGCCTGCCTATTTCTGTTGTTAGTTGTCAATGTTGGTTACCAGGCCTGAGCTGGGTTCAAACCCATCAGCCCCAGTGTATGCGGCCAGCCCCCTAACCACTGAGCTATGGATGCTGAGCCTAAATTTCATTTTTTTTAAAAGTAAGGTCTTACGCTGGAACTATAAGTACACACCACTACACCTGACTAATTTTTCTATTTTTTGTAGAGAAGGGGTCTCGCTCTTGCTTGGGCTGGTCTCAAACTCCTGGCCTCCAAGTAATTATCCCTCCTGGGCCTCCCAAAGTGCTAGGATTACAGGCCATGCCTGGCCTAAATGCCACATCCTTAACCGATGCCATATAACTTTAAAGGGCTTATCCTCTGCAAATCTGTTCTCATTTATAAAATGTGGATCATGATATTTAGCCTGCTATCTTGAAAAGGTATCACGAAGATCCACTAACATAATGTATATAAAAGGGCTTTATGAATCGTACAGCACTACTCAAATGTGTAGCCTAGCAGCAGTATTCATCCCAGCTGGATTTCACCAGTTGATGATGCTAGAAAGGGTCACTGATACTAGCAGTTAGTCATCTAACCAGAAGTATTAAATCAAAACCAACTATTAGTAAATGCCTTCAAAATTAAAAATGCTATTGCAAAGAAAACAATAGCATAAGGAATCCCTCCTCCCTACAGTCATACAAGAGAGGCAGGAGTAGAAGGTGCTTCCTGAAGTCTCTCTGTAGGAAATGTGATAGGATCTTGAAATTGTGCTGAAACCTACATTCAGATCAAGTAGCACATAGAAACATTGGTGTTTCATACACAGAAAGCCAGCTTCAGGACAAGCCCGAGGTTGCTTCTATATCTAAGGCACAGCTAATTCGGCTACTAACCATCTCGTTTGGGTACCCTCTCGCTCTTGCAGCTGGGAACTGGCAGAAAGAGAAAAGGCGGCAATGCATCAGCCTCATCCTGGAAGGTGGTGATAGCGGAGGATGCAAGCACACTGGCGTGCTCAGAAAGCGTGTCCAACACATGCACATTCACATAGTCAGACACGAGAAACCGAATCAGCTCAATCTTTCTCTCATGGTCTGAAGGCAGATGAAGATGAGGAGTACAGGGGGTGGACAATGAGTACAGGGTGGGGTGGAAATTTGGTAAGTGGGCAATGAGGAGAAAGGATGAAAATAAACAAAAATCAAAATAAGATAACTGAACATGCAGAATAAATGTACTATGAAAGAAATGCCTAGTCACCTGACAGTTATGGGAGTTACACAGAAAGCAGAAAGATTTAGGAACAAGGAAATTATCAAAATCTACAATAAGAAGACCAGAGATGGCTCAGCGCCTGTAGCTCAAGCGGCTAAGGCGCCAGCCACAAACACCTAAGGTGGCGGGTTTGAATCCAGCCCGGGCCTGCCAAACAACAATGATGGCTACAAGCAAAAAATAGCCAGGTGTTGTGGCGGGTGCCTGTGGTCCCAGCTACTTGGGAGGCTGAGGCAGTAGACTCGCTTGAGCCCACGAGTTGGAGGTTGCTGTGAGCTGCAATGTCACAGCACTCTACCCAGGGAGATAGCTTGAGGCTCTGTCTCAAAAAGAAAAAAGAAGAAGACCAGAGATGTGGCAGAGATAGAAGCTGATCTTTTCTTTTCTTCTTCTTTTTTTTTTTTTTTTTTTTTGAGACAGAGCCTTAAGCTATCACCCTGGGTAGAGTGCTGTGGCATCACAGCTCACAGCAACCTCCAACTCTTGGGCTTAAGCAATTCTCTTGCCTCAGTCTCCCAAGTAGCCGGGACTACAGGTACCCACTGCAAAGCCCAGCTGTTTTTTGGTTGTAGTTGTCATCGTTTGGCAGGCCTAGGCTGGATTCAAACCCACCAGCTCTGGTGGTACGTGGCTGGCGCCTTAGCCACTTGAACTACAGGCACCACTCTGATCTTTTCTTACTTCTTATTTTTAACCAGGAACCAAGAATTCTAATTTGTGCTAGATATATATGTGAGCAATAGAAGAAATACATGAGGATACACGGAAGAGAGAGAAACTTACATATAATTTTTATCTGAAGAGTCACTAAAAATAAGAGGAGCTCACAGAGTGTTGCTCAGGAATGGAGCGAGGGCTCACCTGGCTTGGACAGCGGCATGGGTGGAGGGAAGAACCGGCGAGACGGCTGAGGTGGGCTGCAAAGAAAGAAAGGCAACCTTCTTCAAGACTGAAGCATCAAATGTTGGTGTTAATGGCATGTTTGAATTACCTTTAAGGAAACAGATCTATTGAATTTTCAACTGTGGCATAATCCCTGATAACAGAGATAATCTTACGCTGTCAAACAAGCTAAAATATTTAAATGAAAGTTCTCCTATAAATCTTAGCTAATAAACAAAATGAGAAAATTCTTCTGTTACCACTGATACTCTGCCATCATCAAAAAGTCCTAGTCTTTGCTTTCTTCATCAGCTTTGATGAACACACTTAGAACTTCCATTTTATAAGCTGTGGGTCACTAGGATGTAATACACAGTGTTCATGTTACATGCCTATTACCTCAACTTTCTACCCTATTTAATCTCTTCCTTCAAAAAGATGGGATTTAAGGTCACCTGGACAACATTCAATTTGCTGTCTATAATTAGTGACTGGGTCATTAGAAAAAGGTGAAGTTTCTGAAGAGGAAACAGGGTGATAGCTTACTCCCTCATTGTAGATATACATATATATAGTTTGCATATATATAGTTTGTGTGCAGTTTAAATCTTTACTATGAGAACCTTTATTTTCATTATTTTTTTAAACATCTTTATAGTTATCTTAACCCCTCAAAACATTTCCAGCAACTGAAAAACTAAAAAACAAAATAGTAACAAACTGTCTGTTCACTGGTCCAAACCTGCTCAGCTCCTGCCCCTGCAGGTGGAGTGGGTGCTGCTGGTAGTGTCCAAAGACCTCAAACACAATCGGTTTGGTTCTGATGTAATCCACAAAGGATTCAGTGATCTCCACTGCAATCTGACAAGTAAGAAAGCCAAGCAAGATTAGGAAAGATTTGTTGTAAGAAAAAACGCGTTTGCTTCAATCAGAACTTCAGTACTGCTGAGTGTCCTTACGTGTGCAGTGTTGTTATGCAGGCTCCCCTCTCAGGTTCACTCTAAAGTAACTTCGTCAAGCTTCGGGAATCCGACACCCTCCACAATCTGACCCAACTATCGTGAGTCCCTGCTGCTCCTCACACACTTACTGTTCTGGCTCAAACTCATCTCCTTTTCCTTTCCCCTGTTCTCTCCTCTGCTGTGCTGAGGACTGGCCCAGGCTGCAGCCCTGCCTGAGAGGCCCTGCCAAATGTCCACACACCTAAGTCATCCCTGCGCTTCAAGGTCTGACTCAAACAGTAACAATACTAAGAAGGACAGGTACAGATTGTGGACTACGTGCCAGGTTGACAAAATCCCAAGTTGACTTACCTTTTCTGGGTCCTTCAAAAAACTCCCTGCCTCCTTTCTCCACTTAACCATCACCCCCCAAAAAGTGACGTAAAATATTCACTGCATTCAACAAATACTTTCCTCATGTCTCTCTCTCTTGTACAACTGTTGCTTACATACACATTTTATTTCTCCTATCATAACTCTAAGCTCCTTGCAGTTATCTGCAATTCAACTGCATCCTCCAGGCATGTCGGGCACAGTCCTTGAGCAGAGCAGCTGATCACTATGTGTCAGATACATGCATGCTCACATTCACACAAACACCAAAAACAAAATACTGTATTTTGCATGTAAATGTTCCATCTTTGGAGTTTTCCTTTCCTCTCCTACTTTACGGAACAGACACAGCTAGCAAGAGAATGAGGGAGAGTTTCGTGCAGCAGAGAAGATCCTGGATGCTAAAGTCACACTTTTCTGGGTTCAAACCCCACCTCTGCCTCTTCCTAGCTTTCCAAGATGTAACAGGGATTACTGTAATCTATGCCTGTAAAGGGGGAAGATTAAATGATACAAAAAACACTCAGAAAACTGACACAAAATACATTTTTGTGAATGTTAGCTATTATGATAAGAATGATGAGTTTTGAATAGAGTTTAAGTGAAATTTATAATATTTAAGAGACAGATGGTCTGTTTTCTTCGAGTATGAAGACAGTTGTAAGGGACATTTTAGTGGATTAATATCAGCTGCAAGGAAAACAGACTAACTCTTTTTTTTTTTTTTTTTTTTTTAGGACAGAGTCTCACTGTGTTGCCCTCCATAGAGTGCTGTGGCATCACAGCTCACAGCAACCTCCAGCTTTGGGGCTTAGGTGATTCTCTTGCCTCAGCCTCCTGAGTAGCTGGGACTACAGGCGACCACCACAACGCCCAGCTATTTTTTTGTTGTTGTTGCAGTTTGGCCAGGGCCAGGTTTGAACCTGCCACCCTTGGTACATGGGGCTGGTGCCCTACTCACTGAGCCACAGGCACTGCCCCACTAACTCTTAACTATAGAAGGTATTTAATAGTTTCTGTATTCTTTGCAACTGCACAATATAAATGTTAGAGGACATATTTATGCATTCAAACAAAACCCTTATTAAACATGCTTATGTTTCTAGGACATAAACACTAAAACAACTCACTACATCCAAACTGATGGAAGATTTTACTGGCAGACACCACATACCACTCACTGGGGCCATTGTAAATCAGACAAGGAGGTGCTGCTCCTTCCACTGAGCATGACCTCACCGCTCTGGCCACTCCCTCTATTGTCTACTGCCTCCGGGACGCTCCCCTGCATAGGGAGCCTTTGGCTGTTGTGCCACTGTGGTGGGCTGAGAGATCTAAGGTACTACAAACCCATGATATGTTTGCAACAATGTCTACATTACTTACATTCTGCACGTGGTAAAAGCCCAGGGGACTCCCTCTGCCATTGTTTTTGAGGGGTTCAGTGGAGAATGCTTCATCATGGCGATGCAAAAAGCTTAATTAAAAAAACAAGACATGAATATCACACTAAATGGTTTCATCAAGATATGTTTTAAGAGCTAAACTTGGGTCCTATAGAAAGAAGCAACCTACTTAAGAACATTCTTTATCCGAGCTAAGTTATTTACATTTTATTATCAAAAACCTTTTCCACATCACACAGATAGCATTTTATTTATTTACTTAGGCAGTGTCTCACTCTGTCACTGGGGTAGAGTGCCGTGGTATTGTAGCTCACAGCAACCTCAAACTCTTGGGCTCAAGCAATCCTCCGGCATCAGCCTCCCAAGTAGCTGGGACTTCTGGTGCCTGCCACAATGCCACAACAGATATCATTTTAGATTTTATTTTGAAAAATGGGACCAGGCAGAGTGGCTCAACTCTATAGAAAATTTTAAAGATTAGGTAGGCATATTGTCTTTATGTGCCTATAATCCAGCTACTTGAGAGGCTGAGACAAGAGATGATTTAAGCCCAGGAGCCTGAGGTTGCTGTGAGCTATCGTGACACCATACACTTGAGCCCAGGCAACAGAGAAACCCCTGTCTCAAAAAAAAGGGGAGGGGAGGCTACAAGATGGCAGACTAGGAACATCTAATCAGCTGCTCTCAGTAAAGCCAGGAGAAAATGTCTATCATCCACCCAGAAACAACACTGCAATGGCACAGTGAGACTACATGGCAGGGGATACTAGAAGCCAAAAAAGATAAGATGGGTGGGAGGCCTGCACAGAAAGTGGGTGGAAGGGAGCACCATGACCCAGGAGAGCCTACATGTGGAATCCCTGGGGGATTTAAGTCCAGAGAAGATTCACCTACATCCCTTAGGACGCATAGCACCCTATACAGGTGGACTGGGGATTGGACTGAACTCTGGGAGGGCCTGTCCCTCCAGTTGTGGGACATGGAATGAAATGCGCTGGAACTTAGGTTCCACAGGACTCTCAGTAGCACAGGAGCCAGCCCTTTGTCAGATTTTTTCTTGATGTGGTGGAGGCAAAGGCAGGGCATGTCTTGAGCACCTAAACTCAGGTTATCCTCCCACCCTGGCCCCTGAGAGAGCTGGGATTGCTGGTTTGGGCCACCATGCCCAGACTATTACCATTATCTTTCTTTTTCTGTCTTCTCTCCCTTTTGTTATTATTAATTTTCTCTTTTTATTGCTCTCTTCTTTACTCCCCCTTTTGTCCCTGACATCAAAGCACAGAGACAAGGAAGATTAAGGAGAAGGAAGAAGTGAAGAATTAAGTAAGAGGAAAGAAGTAACAAGAAGAAACCACACATAATGAGGAACCAAGAAAAAATTCTGGCAACATAAAAACTCAGAGCAGATCAATCTCCCACGGGATCACCAAAGTACCACAGAAAGCCCCATATATAAAGAAATCATGGAAATGACAGAAATGGAATTTAGAGTATGGATAGCAAAAACAATGAAGGACAAGTGGAAAATCACCAAAAGGAAATACAAAAATTGACCCAAGAAATGAATAGAAGACATGATGAAATTACAAAGCAGCTTAAAGAATTGAAGGAATTTCAAAATATAGCAGAAAGTTTCAATAACATTAAAGCATGGAGAAGAAAGAATCTTAGGCCTTAAAAACAAGGCTCTCGAGCTAAGTCAATCATCCAAAGAAGCAGAAGAGAAGAGATTTATAAAAGCAATCTCTTAGAGAATTATGGGATTAGACAAAGTGTATAAACATACAAATTAAAGGTATCCCTGGAGGAGGAGAAGAGAGACCCAAAGGCATGTAAGCCCTACTGGAAGATACCGTAACTGAAAATTTTCCAAACATTACCAAAGATTTAGATACTCACTTTTAGACAGATATAACAGATAATTGAACCTCAGTTTATTTCCATTCAAACAGAGCATATCCTAGAAACACTGTAATTAAACTTATTAGGTCAAGTAAAAAATGAAATAGAAAGTCCTACAAGCAGCCAGGTATAAGCAGCAGCTTTCCTATAAGGGCAAAGACATTATGGTGACAGCAGATTTTTCAGTGGAAACTCTGCAAGCCAGAAGAGAGCGGAACCCAAACTTCCAGTCCAAGATCCTGTATCCTGCTAAACTAAGTTTCATATTCAATGGAGAAATCAAATCATTTACTTACAAGCAAGCATTGAAGAAATTTGCCACTACAAGACCAGCTCTGCAAGAAGTACTCAGACCTATACCATACATCGACCACAACAATGGACAACCAGCAAAGTAAAGACACCTGGAAACTAAAGGACAACACCTAGCTTCCATAATGGCCCAAGTAATAAGACAAGGCAACACATCTCCACAAAATAAGATGAACAGAACTCCCGCATACTTATCAGTTGTCTCAATAAATGTGAATGGGCTGAATGTCCCATTTAGAGAGACAGGGCCTGGCTGACAGGATAAAAAAAAGCACAAGTCAACTAAACGCTATCTTTAGGAAATACCTCTAACCTTCAAGGACAAAACAAGATTCAGGATGAAGCACTGGAAAACAATATTTAAGGCAAATGGAAATCAGAAGAAACAGGAGTCTCAATCCTATTTGCTGATACAATTGGCTTTAAAGCAAGAAAAAGTAAAGAAAGGCAAAGATGGACACATATACTGGTCAAGGGAATGATACAACAAGAAAACATTTTAGTCCTACATATTTATGCAGCCAACTTAAATGCTCCTAGATTTATAAAACCAGCTCTAATGGGTCTAAACAATATGTTATCCTATAATACCATAATAGCCGGGGACTTCAACATCCCACTAACAGAACTGTACAGATCCTCAAAGCAAAAGCTAAACAAAGAAATGATGGACTCAAACAACAAATGGGCTTAAGAGATATATACAGAATATACTACCCCCAAAACACTGAGCATACGCTCTTCTCATCAGTGTCTTGTTGGATACTGCAGAAGCTGTCCTAAGAGAGAAATGTATCACATTAAATGACCACATCTAAAAAACACAGCATAAATCAACGACTTAATGAAACATCTGAAGGAAGTGAAAAAGAGTAATCCAATCCCAAACCTAGCAGAAGAAAAGAAATCACCAAAATTAGATCAGAATGAAATGAAATTGAGAACAAAAGAACCACTCAGAAGATTAGTGAAACAAAAAGGGTTCATTGAAAAGATAAATAAAATCAATAAACTTTTGGCCACATTAACTCAAAGAAAAGTAAGACTCTAATAAAGTCAATCAAAAAATGAAACAGGATAAATAACCACAGATACCACAGAGATACAAAAGGTCATCACTGAATACTACAAAAAAACTCTACGCCCAGAAATTTGAAAATGTGGAGGAAATGAACCAATATATTGAATCACACTACCTCTCTAGACTTAACTAGGAAGAAACAGATACTCTTGAACAGGCTAATAATGAACACTAAATTGCAACAACAATAAAAAAGCTTCCAACCAAAAAAAGTCCTGGACCAGACAGTTTTACACTACAATTCTACCAAGCCTTCAAAGAAGAGCTTGCACTTATATTGCAGAACCTATTCCAAAACACTGAGAAGGGCAGAATTCTTCCCAACTCCTTCTATGAAGCAAATATCAACTGATACCCAAACTAGGAAAAGATCCAAACAAAAAAGAAAACTACAGATCAATTTCATCAATGAATATGACAGAAAAATACTCAATAAAATCCTAGCAAAATAAAATACAGCTATATGTTAAAAAAAATTATACATCACAATTAGGTGGGCTTTATCTCAGGGATGCAAAGCTGGTACAACATATGCAAATCAAGGTCGGCCGTGCAAATCAAAGCTCATGCCTATAATTCTAGCACTCTGGGAGGTCAAGGTAGGTGGATTGCCTGAGCTCAGGAGTTCAAGACCAGCCTGAGCTGGAGCAAGATCCAGCCTCTAAATATAGCTGGGCATTGTGGCATGCGCCTGTAGTCCCAGCTACTCAGGAGGCTGAGGCTAGAGAATCACTTGAGCCCAAGAGTTTGAGGTTACTGTGAGCTATGACATTATGATACTCTACCAAAGGCAACAAAGTAAGACTCTGTCTCCAAAAAAAAAAAAAAAAAAAAAAAAAAACTGCAAATGGATAGATGTAATCCACCACGTAAATAGAAGCAAAAACAAAGACTATATGATCCTCTCAACAGATGTAGAAAAAGCATTCAACCCAGTTCAGTATCCTTTTCTGATAAGAACCCTTAAGAAAATAAAACAGGCAGACATGGGACATTTCTTAAACTAATAGAAACTATCTGTGACAAACCCACAGCCAAGATCATACTGAATGGAATAAAACTGAAAGCCTTTCCACTTAGAAATAGAACCAGACAAGGATGTCCACTGTTACCACCACTATTCAACATAGAGCTGGGAATCCTAGCTAATGGAATCAGACAAGAGAAGGCTATCAAGGGCATCCAAATGGGGACAGAGGAGGTCAAACTTTCATTCTTTGTTTATGATATGATCTTATACTTAGAAAACCCCAGGGACTCAACCACAAGATTCCTGGAAGTGATCAAGAAATACAGTAATGTTTCAGGGTATAAAATCAATGTCCACAACTAAGCAGCCTTTACATATGCCAGTAATAGTCAAGCTGAAAATCAAATCAAAGACACAATACCCTTCACAGTAGCTTCAAAGAAAACGAAATACCTTGGAATATACCTAACAAAGGATGTGAAGGATCTCTATGAGAGAACTATGAAACTCTGAGAAAAGAAATAGAAGATATTAACAAAAAGAACATACCATGCTCATGGCTAGAAGAATTAACATTGTTAAAATGCCTGTACTACCCAAAATGATCTACAGATTTCATGTAATCCCCATTAAAACACCAACACCATACTTTGAAGAACTTGAAAAAAGAGTTCTCTGTTTCATATAGAGCCAGAAAAGAGTTCAAATAGCCAATGCAGTTCTAAGAAATAAAAACAAATTTGGAAACACCACATTACCAGACTTCAGGTTATACTACTAGTCTACACAGATCAAAAAAGCATGGTATATAAATGTCTTAACACAATAACTAAGAAAATGACATGAAGGCTATGTTAACCAGTTTGATGAAAATATTTCAGATTGTATATAGAAACAGCACACTGTACCCCATGACTGCATTAATGTATACAGCTATGATTTAATTTAAAAACAAAAGGATGATATTGGTATATAAATAAAGACATAGGTCTATGGAACAGAACAGAAAACCTAGA